GTCTGTATGTGGGATCCGAACCCTCGGCGGGAGCGCCTCCGCGCTTCCCAAGCGGCGCACTAGCGCAGTGCGCCACCGGGCCGGCCCGAGATGCCTGGTTTAATGGGAAGCAATGGTTCACCAGGTCAGCCTGGAACACCATGATCTAAAAGGAACAAAGGTGAACCTGGACTTCAAGGGATGCCTGGGGCTTCTGGGCTTAAGGGAGGACCAGGAGCAATGGGTCCCCCAGGAGAACCAGGATACGTGGGTCTACCTGGGATGCAAGGGAAAAATGGGGACAAAGGATATCAAGGTGAAAAAGGTATTCAGGGTCAAAAGGAAGAAAATGGAAGACAAGGAATTCCAGGGCAGCAGGGAATTCAAGACCATCCTGGTGCAAAAGGAGAGAGAGGTGACAACGGGGAACCTGGTGTCAGAGGTGCCACTGGACCAAAAGGAGAAACTGGACTGGATGTTCTGAGGGGGCCTGAGGGTCCCAAGACAACCTGGGGAAATGACCTCAGGAACCTCTAGGATTGGATGGGAAGCCTGGAAGAGAATTTTCAGAACACTTTTTTGAGAGGTTTCTACTGATGTATTAAGAGTCCAGCTACTAGTCGTACTTCAGAGCGAAAAAATTCAACATTGTGATACATTGCCAATACCAACATGGTTCCCCTGGTATTCCTGGGCCACCTGGTCCCATAGGCCCAAAAGGTCCTCGCGGATTTCCTGGTTTGCCAGAAAGAGATGGTGTTCCTGGATTAATGGGTGCCCTTGGACGCTCAGGTGCCAGAGGATTAAAAGGTTTAACCGGGAAGGAACTGGGCAAAGGATGTCCAAGAGTTGGGGCATCCTGGAGAATAAGGTTCCCCTGGTCCCCCAGCTCCAGAGGGCCCTCCTGGAAGAAGCAAAGAAGGTCCTCTGGGAGACCCAGGTATTCCTGGCAAAGATGGAAATCACAGGAACCCGGGACTCCAAGGGCAACCAGGCCCCTCTGGCATCTGTGATCCATCTCTATGTTTTAGTGTAATTGTTGGAAGAGATCCACTTAGAAAAGGACCAAACTATTTAGTGTCTGATGCCTTATTCGGCAGCCTAGGCATGGTACTATTCTTTTATGGTCTTTTGCATCTCAGGAAGATAACTAACAGTAATCCCTTGAAAAGAAACAAAAGTAGCTTGGTGTTTGTATTATTTTCTTTCCTTAAGGGAAAAATATATACAAGGTGTCATATACTGATTTTAGAGTCTCCTCAGTAACAGGAACCTTTAGATTAGTAGCATTAATTAAATCTCAAGGGTTTCTTGTAAAGTCCATTTGCTTTCATCAAAGTTGAATATAAAAATCCACCATTGCCTGTTAGCCAGTCAGTTTTAGTCACTGTGAAATATTTCACCTTGTTTCCATGCAGTAAAGATTTGAGTTCAGTTTCATGTCTGTGTGAATTTCATTTTTCCCACTTCATAGCTCATGCATCTACATTAGCCAAAACATGTATCTGGTCATTGGATATAAGATCAGGGCTGATATTCAGCTGGAATAGGAAGTATTGCCACACTAGTTGTTTACTCCAGTGTCTGTGCGTATTGGTTAGGGTCAGTGGACTGTTTGTTGTTCAGTGTCTGGGATATCACCTCTGAATAAGAGTAATGTGTTTCTTATTTCAATTTCAAACTCTAAAATCAGATTAATGATTATGCTAAGAAAGAGTGCTGATTACATTGGGAATGGCGAAAATTATGTAACATTAAAAACATTTTAAGGGCCGGCCCGTAGCTCACTCGGGAGAGTGTGGTGCTGATAACACCAAGGCTATGGGTTTGGATCCCTGTATAGGGATGGCTGGTTCACTCACTTCGGAGAGCATGGTGCTGACAACACCAAGTCAAGGGTTGAGATCCCCTTACCAGTCATCTTTTGAAAAAAAAAAAAATTTTTTTTTAGAAAAAAAACATTTCATTGTACAATATATTCAAAGAAAATGCAGGTTCAGAAGTAATAAAAAAGACTTCATTTAAAAAAAGATTAAAGCAATATGAACTCTCCCAAGTAAGTATCAAATGACATGTTTAACTATTACTAGTCTTGCTTATCTATTTTTTGAAAAAAAAAATTTTTTTTAATGATTACTTATCTAAATATTTGCTTTTCTTCTGAAGAAGAACTTTATAGTAGTATTTTTTTTCTCTGTTCTAGGCTGTCTTTTGGCTTCTGGTGGCTCTGATCTAATCTGTTTGGGAATGCTAGTTTTAAAGGAAAGGTGTTAATTAACCTATTTTCTACTGTTACTATGTGAACACTAATTGCTCCTAATTTCTCTTCCTTCACCTGTCCCTAACATAAGGCTTTTAATTCTTGGTTAATAATTTCTCCATTTACACACTGTTCTTAAAGGGAGCATATTATTTTTCTTCCAAACATTTTTAAACCACCAGATGAAATTAGTTATGCTTTAAATAAATTTTCCTGGGATTGTTTAAAGTAGTTTAGGTAGAACAGTTATTTCTTTGTATTTTCAGAGACTAAACAGAAATAGGTGCATTCACCTGTTGTTGAACCCACAGACAATGAAGACAAAATATTTGTTGATGCCCACCATTTCTAAAGCAATGTAACAGTTTTTGGCATACTTTTAAAATTAATGAGATTTTCACTCATATTATTTAATGTATTAGGTTGAATCATATGAGATTGCACATCTTCAACAGTTTTCAGCCTATAAAAATGGCAATTATATATAGTTCTAACCTAATGTGTGATTTTAGAGGTTCTTATATTCTCTTAGAATTTTCGTCACTTGGGCCGGCCCGGTGGCGCACTCGGTAGAGTGCGGCGCTTGGGAGCACGGCGGCGCTCCTGCTGAGGGTTCGGATCCCATATAGAGACCGGTCCGCTCACTGGTTGAGCGCGGTGCGGGCGCGACACCTAGGGTTGCGATCCCGTTGCCGGTCACAAAAAAAGACAAAAAGGGAAAAGAAAAAAAAAAAGAATTTTCGTCACTTTAAAATTCACCTTTATAATAGCTATTTTGTGTATAAACAATTAAGTATTGAATACATATCCCTTAATCTGAAACTTCCCTTTTAAAATAATGTGCAGTTAGATGATTTTGAGTGACACCAGAGTAATTGTGATAGTAAATGAAAAAAGCAGGAGAAAATATATGTTGTTAGTGTGACTGAGCTGTGGTGTAAAATAAGAAAATATACATTATATATTGTTAACTATTCTTTAATGTATGTTTGAATGTATAAGGTAATCATTTATAAATTTATATACTTAAATTGGTTTTATTGAGGTAAACTTGCACAACAATAAAATTCTCCCGATTTTAAGCATGCAATTCAACTAGTTCTGACAAAGGTATATGTTACCACCACCACCCTCAAGATATAGAACTTTTTTTTTTTTTTTGTCTCTTTTGTGACTGGTAAGGGGATCGCAACCCTTGGTGTGGTGTCGCCTGCACCGCGCTCAGCCAGTGAGTGCACCAGCCATTCCTATATAGGATCCGAACCCGCGGCGGGAGCATCGCTGCGCTCCCAGCGCTGCACTCTCCTGAGTGTGCCACGGGGCCGGCCCAAGATATAGAACATTTTCATCACCCTAAACAGTTCCCTAGTGCCCCTTTGCAGTCTGTCCTGATCCCACTCCCAGCCTTCAGTGGCCACTGATGTACTTTGTCACAATAGTTTTGCCTGTTCTAGACTTTTCATATAAATGGAATCATACAAATGTAGCTTTTTCGTGTCTGACTTCTTTCATGCAGCATATCCATGCTTTGTATCAGTAGTTTGCTCTTTTTGTTGCTAAGTAGTATGATTTTTTTTTTCCTTTTTGTCTTTTTTCGTGACCGGCAACGGATTGCAACCCTCAGTGTTGCGCCCGTACTGGACCGGGACCGGCAACGGGATCGCAACCCTTGGTGTTGCGCCCGCACCTCGCTCAGCCAGTGAGCGGCCAGTCTGTATGTGGGATCCGAACCCTCGGCGGGAGCGCCACCGCACTCCCAAGCGGCGCACTGTAGCAGTGCGCCACCGGGCCGGCCCTAAGTAGTATGATTTTAATCCATTCACCAATTGATGGACATTTGAGTCATTTCCAGGTTTTGGCTAGTAAGAATAAAACTCCTATGAACATTTGCTTACAGGTCTTTGTTCTTAAGTTTTCCTCTGTATTGAGTAAATATCTCAAGTTAGGACTCCTGAGTCCTATGGTAAATGTCTATTTAACTTCATAGGAAGTTGCCAGACTGTTTTTCAAAGTGGCTGTACTATTTTACATTCCCCCCAGCAATGTATGAGAGTTTCATTTGACACCATTTGGTATTGTCATCCTTTAAAAATGTATCCATTCTAATGGGAAATGAGTGGTATCTCATTATGATTTTAATTTGCTTTCCCTGATGACTAGTGATGTGGAGCATCTTTTCATGTGCTATTAGTCATCCCTGTATTTCTTTTTATTGGTTTATTAAGCTTAGTGGGTTATAAGAGTTCTTTACAAATTGTGAATACTGTCTTTTATCAAATGTGTTTTGCAAGTATTTCCTCCCCATCTGTGGTTGCCTTTGCATTCTTATAACAGTCTCTTTTGACGAGCAAACTTTTGGTAACCTTTGTTTAAAATCAACCAACCATAGAAGTGAGTCTGTTTCTGGATTCTCTTCCATTCTCTTGACATATGTCTATCTTATGCCAATACTGTTTTCATCATAGCTTTGGAGAAGTCTTGAAATTAGGTAGTTTGAGTGCTTCAGCTTTTTCTTTTTCAATGTTGTTTTAGCTATTTGAGATCTTTTGCATTTCCATATAAATTTTAGAATCAGTTTATCAATTTTTGTGAAAAAGACTACTGGGGTTTTGGCTGGGATTTTGTTGAATTTATAGATCAAATTGGAAAGAATTGATACCTTAATGATATTGAATCTTCCATTCCTACCTGATGTATCTCTTCATTATTTAGGTCTTAAATTTCTTTCAGTAATGTTTTATAGTTTTCTTACACATGTTATGGTAACTTTATTCCTAAGTATTTTGTGTATTTTGATGCCATTGTAAATGGCATTTAAAATTTTCAATTTCTAGTTGTGTATTGCTACTATAGGGAAATAAATTTGATTTTATGTTAACCTCTTACTCTGTGACCTTGCTAAACTCACTTATTCTAATAGTTTTTTCCTAGATTTCATAGAATTTTCTACACAGGTGACCATGTCTTCTGTAAATAAAGACAGTTTTCTTTCTTTTTAGTTTGTATGCATTTTATTTCTTTTTCTTTTCTTATTGTACCAACTAGGATCTCCAGAACAGTTTTGAACAGAAGTGAAGAGTGGCATTCTTGCCTCTTTCCTGATCTTAGGGGAATCTCATTGTACTTTTACCATTAAGTATGGTGTTGGCTGTGGGGTTTTTGTTTTTGTTTTAGATTCATTTTATTAGATTAAGAAAATTCCCTTCTATTTCTAGCTTGTTGAGAATTTTTCAAAGAATCAGATCCTAGTTTCATTATTCTTCTCCATTGTTTTTCTCTTTTCTCTTTCATTGGTTTCTGCTCTAATCTTTATTATTTCCTTTCTTCTGCTTACTTGGGTTTAATTTGCTTTGCAAGTCCTAACTGCTTCAGCCTCTCTGAACTCTGATCTCTGTCTCATCAACTCAGCAAAACTGTTGGACTGTGTTTTAAATTTCCTTTCCCTGGGCCGGCCCGGTGGCGCACTGCTACAGTGCGCCGCTTGGGCGTGCAGTGGCGCTCCCGCCAAGGGTTCGGATCCCACATACAGACCGGTTCCCGCTCACTGGCTGAGCGAGGTGCGGGCACGGCACCGAGGTTTGCGATCCCGTTGCCGGTCCCGGTCCGGTGCGGGCGCGACACTGAGGGTTGTGATCCGTTGCCGGACACGAAAAAAGACAAAAAGCAAAAAAATAAATAAATAAATAAATTTCCTTTCCCTGGGCCGGCCCGGTGGCGCACTGCTACAGTGCGCCGCTTGGGCGTGCAGTGGCGCTCCCGCCAAGGGTTCGGATCCCACATACAGACCGGTTCCCGCTCACTGGCTGAGCGAGGTGCGGGCACGGCACCGAGGTTTGCGATCCCGTTGCCGGTCCCGGTCCGGTGCGGGCGCGACACTGAGGGTTGTGATCCGTTGCCGGACACGAAAAAAGACAAAAAGCAAAAAAATAAATAAATAAATAAATTTCCTTTCCCTGCAGTACTGCCTGGAAATTTCCTTTAGGCAATAAGCTCTGTCAGTTGTAGGGCTCACCTTGTTTGTTTCTCTCTCTGAGATCATAGTTCTGCATTGCCAGCTGTCCAGTGTCTGAAAAACAGCTTTTTGCTATATATTGTTAAGCTTCTTACTTGTTTATGGTGGAAGGGCAATTCCTATAGAAATTAATCCTTCATGGGCTGAAGTAGAAGTCCTGTATAAATTTTATACTTTGCAAACTTTTTAGAATAATGGGAAAAAATTAATTCTATCCCTCTGCCTTTTAACCAGTTCATTCTGTCTTCTATATGCTCCCTCTTCTGGAATTGTATTTACTAATCCAGAATAATAATAAATCAAAGAATAACAAATTGATTCCCTGATCTGTTGCAATTCCAATGCAGTGTTTATCCTTAAATTATTTGCAGGTGAGGACATTTCAGAGTACAGGTTTATGCTGGATTTTACAAGTTCTGTTAGTATGGTGTAGGGAGTATTTATACATGTTTTTATTGTTATTTATTGACTAATTTCTGTCCTATAGCTAAATGGCCTTCATTCTGAGTATGACAGATGAGACATCTCTTCTTCACTTTCTTTCCAAATACATATAACCCTGAAGCATTGGAGAGACTAAGTGGATTTTTGTTCTTTTAAGTTGCTTTCAGCTTGTTTTCCATCACTAGATTCAGTCTTTGTCTAAATATATTACATGTAATTCTTGTTATTGTCACTGGTAACTTAATTCAACATTTGTTTGCTACTGTTCTCTTCTTGTTCACTTGAGTAATATGTAGTTTAAAAATATAACCACATTAACAGTGTTTACTTGTCTGATTTTTTTCTCCTAGGTGGTATAGCTGTATGCTGGGGAAGAAATGCAGCCTCGCTCCTCTGAAGGAAGAGCTTCGCATACAAGGGGTAAGGCTTTGTCATTACTGTTCTTCTGTATCTCTTGATGGTAGTTTGAGTATAGAATTCTTCTTTATACCCTAAAACTCTGAATGTGGTTTCTTTGTTTTGTTTTTTGCTTGTTTTTTTTAATTCTATAATTTTAGGGCTAAAGCGACTTTTTATAGATTATTAAAACAAGGTCTCTTTGACAATTATAACAGAGAAAAGGTGGGGAAAAGTGGGATAAGAAGAATGTCAGAGAGAAACCAGAAATTGAGATACTTGGTGTCTACCACTGACCTCACATCTGACACCTTTATAGAAAACGAGGCTACATAGGTTAAGGAGCTTGTTCCGAGTCACACAATTTGTAGTTATCGAAGAACGACTAGAACCAGAATGGAGCCTCAGTCCAGTTTGCTTCCACTAGGGTGATGGCCCACATGAGGGCAGCCCCCTGCTCCTGTTTTGAAAGGCAGGTGGCAAATAAATACTCCCTCGCCATTCCCCTCCCAGTTTATGGTGTTTGACATGAGTAGGCATGAGCAAGATGACTTCTCAGTGAAAGGGGTCAGATGTGTGTCAGTGGTAGAATCCACATAATCCACATTTCTGATCTCTGGTTTCTCTCTGATATTCTTTGTGTGTGTGTGTGTGTGTGTGACCGGTAAGGGGATCGTAACCCTTGGCATGGTGTCGCCCGCACCACGCTCAGCCAGTGAGTGCACCGGCCATCCCTATATAGGATCCGAACCTGCGGCCTCGGCACTCCCAGCGCCGCACTCTCCGAGTGAGCCATGAGGTCGGCCCTCTCTCTGATATTCTACTCATACTGTTTTCCCCTCAACACTGTTTCTTTGGTAAAACTGTAAAAGCTACAAAGTAGTAGTTTCTTTTTCTTTTCTAATATTTGATAGATTACATAGCTCCGCCTAGGCAGGCTTTGGTTGGCTATTTTTCTTTAAAAAGGAAACAAAAAAGCACTTGAATCATTTTACAAATGATTCTCTGAAGAGCTGTGTTTTAGGTGTTCTACCTTCGAGCCAAATCTGTCTTCTCTTTTATGAGAGGAAAAACAATACAACTTTGTTGAGAGACTATTCATTGAGTATTAGGCAGTTATGTATAATCATGTTTTGGATAATAGTGTCTTAAATAGATAAAAAGAAGAACCAATGGATAATTTAACATGAGACAGCAGTCAGAACCGTATTGGTGGAATGACTTGAGTTTGATGAGATGCTGTGATTGTCGGTTTCAGGTTCCTAAAGTCACCTACACTGAATTCTGTCAAGGTCGGACAATGAGATGGGCTTTAGCTTGGAGTTTTTATGATGACGTAATAGTACCAGTAAGTAGAGACCTTGCTTCGGCTTCTCCAAATGCCAGCACATGGTGGGTTTTAGTAGGTTATAAATGAAGTAAGTCTATATTCTCCTGTTCCCTGAAGTTTGCCCCAAATGCTTATGTCAGAACAGAAAGTGGGGGCCGGCCCGGTGGCGCACTGGATAGTGCGCCGCTTGGGAAGCGCGGCGGCGCTCCCGTCCGAGGGTTCGGATCCCACATACAGACCGGCTCCTGCTCACTGGCTGAGCGAGGAGCGGGAGCAACGCCGAGGCTTGCAATCCCGTTGCCGGTCCCCGGTCCGGTGCGGGGGCAACACTGCCCGTTGCGATCCGTTGCCGGACACGGAAAAAAGACAAAAGACAAAAAAAAAAAAAAAAAAAAAAAAAAAAAAAAAAAAAAAAAAAAGAACAGAAAGTGACTGTAAACAAGACACAGTTGTAGAAGGTTGCCTATGGTGACCATGGAGTCTTTCTCTGTGGGTTTGTACAACACAGGGATTCTTGCTCAGCAAACACAAATGCATCAGAAATGCATCTTTTAGGAATTAAAAATTCAGGTAACATAACCTGTAGGCAACTTTGCAGGTATAATTATTCTGGTGTACATTCCTTCAGAATTGAAATTGATGTCTGTTTCTTTTCCTTTACCCCTGCTGCTTTCCTAGAGTAGCTGCCTCCTGGGGTTCTTGGAGGTTTTAGAAGTTGCTGTTTTGGGTTGTAAGCTTTTGATGTGTAACACTTGGGGATCAATCTAGTAAAGAATTCTACCTCAGCTTTAAGATTAGTACTAGAATATTGACTATTTTTGAAGCTGGGTGATAGATTTTTATCCAATTCTTTCTACTTTGGGTATGCTCGAACATTTTCTGGAATAAAAAGTTTAAAATATGATTTGTTCACAAATGTCTCTTTGTCCTCTCTGCTTCTGTATGTAAAGGAGAAATGCTTCTTAGCCAGCCAGACAGAATGATTTTCTGGGCAGTGCTGAGTGGTAGTGATAGAATAGCATCTTCCAGTCCTCACATCTCCCCCGCCAGGGTGGTTGAGGTCTTGCTGCCTGGAGTCTCTCACCTTAAGTCTGTGCACACGCTGCTCAGCCTGTACTCCTTTGTCCTGTAGTATGTATGGAGTCCTAGTGCCTGCTCCTTCGGGTCTCTATCCCCTGTCTGTACAGCAAGCTTGTTCTGGGTGCTCCTCTCCCCAGGTCTTGGCCACTTTTGGTCTCTAAAGTCATCTTAAATGTTTCTGTGTGTCTGAGTCTCTCTCCCAGAGGAGTAAAAACATGTAGAAGCACAAGGGGACAATTTGCAGATGCTACTGTGTTTCTGAAAACATGAACTCAAATTTGAGACTGAGCCTGTCCTTTCTCCACTCTGCAACAAGGTGTGCTGCTTGAATGGCCTTTCCCATGGAAGCCTGGGCTCGCCTCGATACAGGGTAGGGTATCTAGAAGTTAGTTGTTTGAAATAGGCACTGGTTGTAAAAAGGTACTTCTGCTTTTTTGCCCCCCCCCCCCCGGAAGGACTGTCCTTTCTGTCATCTTCTGGAATACCAGGACCTTCACACCAAATGGTTAAAATCAGTAGTAATACCCTAAGTTATCCCCATGCACACTAACAGCTGGCGGAAAGTGGAACAGCACCTGTTTCCAAATGCTTTCTGCATAACCTGTGTCCCACATTTGCTGGCACCGCAGGTGGAAGAGCTGATAATGAGCTCTGGCACTCTCCACACCAGCTCAGAGACCAGAATTGCCCTTGCCCTCTTGGATTAGTAGCCATTTCACATCCAAGTATCAAAGGGCACTATGTTCCTGTGTTAGCAAAATCAGCTTATTTTGAAAGTGAACCCCCTCAGCCTCTCTCCCTCCCTCTCTTTTAGGGCATCCTTTAGCCCAGATTATAGTTTCTAACCATCAAAGAATATCTCTTGCTAAGGGCCTAAGATTTCTCCCGTGCTAGAGTATTCCACCCCCCCCCACCATTACCCCTAATCCCAAGCTGTTAATAATGCATTCCCCAGTGTTCCATTAGATGCACTTAAACTGCTACAGGAAAAATGGCAATTTCTGATTTGTAGTAACCCAGCAACAGTTTCTTAGCACTGGTGCCCTTGATCAGCAACTGCTTTCCCTGGGGGTAGTCCCGAGGTACTTGTGAGATTTTTATTTGGCCGTCCTCTTGGTTCTCTTTCCCTCTCCCTAGACCTCTCCTCACCCCCTTGCGTTTTTTGAAAAGCTCACTTGACTTTCCTCCTCTTGCCCCTGTTGGGGTTGGGAAATGAGGAGGATGCTGCTTTAGACAAGAAGAAGCAGCTAAGGAATAGAGCTAGTTAAGGAGAAATATTGACCTACTTCCCCACCCCCCACCTCCTGCCATTTTAGGGTAAATGTGCAAGTTACTATGGCAACTTCTGTTTTCACTTATCTCAGGCCTACTGACTCATTTCTGTTGGTGCTGAATGCTGAAAAATTCTAATTCACTGGTGATTCGAGTGCCTACACTAAGCCCATTGCTGTTGCCTAGATTTATTTTAGCAACAAAAAGACGGGTCCCAATGTTGATAGAAATTTTGCACCATCATTTCTGACTGATGATAAATTTAAGGGAGCATTTTGTGAGGGTTGTTCTTTACAGAATTCCAACAAGCCACTTAGAAAGCCCTTTTGTCCCAGTTCTCTAATTGTTTGAGGCATTTTTTTTAGCTTTTCTTTGGTTTGTACAAAGTTTGACATTTGGTAAAAAAAAAAAAGGAAAAAATGTGGCTCTAGTAAGTTGTGCACTCTTGGTATGAGCATTGCCAGGAGCTGTGGTTTAAGAGTATCCCCCTGCATTCAACACATTTCAGTTAAGCCTGGGACTTTGCCATCTAGAGAGTAATAACTCAAGGGCCTTTTGGAGAGCAGATGGAGGAGAGGGGTCAAATTAATTGCAAAGGGGTAACTTTGTGAGTGTCAGAGCTGGCGTTTCCTGACAGTGCTCTACTTACTACTCCATAGGTTTTCAAACTAGTTGCAAATAATTGAAGGATTCCGTGCAGTTGCCTCAGGGGTTGACAGCTAGGGGCAGACATAAGGTTGATACTTTGGACCTCACTATCATTTTAACCAGAGTTGAACTACTTTTATCAATTTTATGTATTGATTTTATTTATTGAAAGGGTTCTGCTATTAAGAAATGGTTTGAAAACCAGTACTATGCCAGGCTGTGCATTACACTACAAAAGAGATGTAGTGATTAGGGATCTTTTTGAGCAAGACCGAAGCTAAGGACGTTCTTCTTAATCATTTTTCTTATTAAATATCATCTTCATTGTGATAGTAACAAAGAAATAAGATCATTTTCTATCCCTTATGAAGATTACTTTTATGGGAAGGAAAAACACACATGAAATAATTGATACAAAATTGTACAAGAATAAATGTCAAAAGGAATAGTAGGGACAAGAGTGGTCAGGACAAAAGAGTTCAGAGAAGGGGGTTGGCTGGTTGGCTTAGTTGGTTAGAGCTGCAGCCTTAGAACACCAAGGTCAAGGGTTTGGATCCCTGTACCAGCCAGCTCCCCCCTGCCCAAAAATAACAATAATAATTTTAAAAAATAAATAGAGTTCAGAAAAGGAAATGGTTCAGGCTGGGCTAGTCAGAGACAACTCAGTGCCTGACTCATAGGTAGTTGATGCTCAGTAAACTTGCTGAATGTTTAAAGGAATGATGGTAGGACTTGTATTGAGGAGCAACATTGTGAGCAGGACATCAGTAGGTTTATTAGATTTTAAGTGCTGGATATAATCTTTGTTATTTGAATGCTTCACACATATTATTTCATTTTATTTAAATCTGTCAGCAATCAAGTGAAGTAGATGGTATTATCCCCTGTTTATAGATGAGGAAACTGGAAGTCTGAAGTAAAGTCAGAACCTAGATCAGTCTGATTTCACAGATGAGCACTTAGTCATTCTGATACTCTGCTCCCCAGGATACTGCCTGTATTTCTGGCTTGGCCACGATAACCTCATCATCTTGCTTATGGACCATCCCAAAAGCCTTTCATCTAAGTGTCACTTGGATTCATCTTCAGTGCACCATTCTGCTCAAAAACTTGTCAGTGGCTACCTACTGCCAGTGCAATGAAGAACAGCTCCTCATTTACCTCCTTGTGCCTTCTAGGTCCATTCTTGACTTTCCCTTCCATCCTGATCACTCCCTGTTTTCCTCACTTGACTGTCTTCTACCACGTTAGCCTCTGTAGACTTCTCTTGATGCCAAAGTCATAGCTGACTTTGTTCACACCCTCTATCTGGTTCTTCCCTCTGACTTCTCTCCACTGCAACCCAGCTCAATTCCAACTTCAGCATAAAGCTTTCTTAACCAGTTAGCCCATAAAAATCTCTCCTGCCTCTGGACTTGCATTTCTCTCTTTCAGTCATCCCTACTCTGCATAAACTTCCTTGTGATACTTTGCGCTGGTTTTTTGTTTAACTCTGGCGTGATGGATCACACCAGAACTCTCTTTCATGGCACACAGAAAGGGACTTTTGTGAGCTGGCCCCTGTCTAGCTTTTATTTATTTATTTATTTTTTTATTTATTTATTTTTTTAAAGATGACCGGTAAGGGGATCTTAACCCTTGACTTGGTGTTGTCAGCACCACGCTCAGCCAGTGAGGGAACCGGCCATCCGTATATGGGATCCGAACCCGTGGCCTTGGTGTTATCAGCCCTGCACTCTCCCGAGTGAGCCACGGGCCGGCCCCTGTCTAGCTTTTATGTATTTATTTATTTTTTTATTTATTTATTTTTTTATTTATTTATTTTTTTAAAGATGACCGGTAAGGGGATCTTAACCCTTGACTTGGTGTTGTCAGCACCACGCTCAGCCAGTGAGGGAACCGGCCATCCGTATATGGGATCCGAACCCGTGGCCTTGGTGTTATCAGCACTGCACTCTCCCGAGTGAGCCACGGGCCGGCCCCTGTCTAGCTTTTATGTTGAACATGTTTTCTCTAAG